GGGTATGTCTACACTGCAGCTAAGAGTGAGCCTCCCAGCCTGGGTAGACAGACCTGCACTAGCTGGGCTCACGCTAGCATGCTGAAAATAGCAGTGTGGCCAGTGCAGCTTTGGCAGACACTCAGGGTAGAAACCAGAGCTCAGAGCCCAAGCTGCCACCAGAACCTCAACAGCTGGGCTGCGATTTTTTAGGGTGCTAGCTCAAACATGGGCTGGCAGCTTGCACCTAGATGCAGTGTAGACATACCCACAGCAGGTCAGTGGCTGTGATGGAACTAGAAGATACGTGTGCTAAATGCCAATCTTGGACCCTATGTCCACTAGCCCACATTGCCTCTCGTAGTTCAAAGGCACATCTAAGAACTTACTTAATGATAAAACTAATGTTTAAAAACTAACCTAAGATATACACATGGGAAAAAAATACTCAGTACTTATTACTCAGTTCAACTAGTTTTTTTAACATCTTCCAAGAATTCACTGCTGGGCAGAGGCTAAGACTGTAGAACTGCCTTGTGGTCCATGCAGGTGGATTGCTGTGCTCACACAGAGTCATATTAGTTTCAGTGGCGGCCTGCCTGGGTGCACTAATCTGCCCATGTAGATCAAATGTAGGATCAAGGCCTAAATTTCAACCCCACAAGGAACATTTTTGAGACAGCAAAAAAATGTGGCTTAGCATAAAATGGCTCTCATCTGATGCACATAGCAGTTGTGACATCATTGCCACTAGCACAGGAACCAATGTAGTGACGGTTCTGAAATGTAATTAATAGCTATAAAGTCCATTCCTCTTTGGAGTTCTTACAAAAAGGTTTTTAAATTGTACCAGAAACTTTGCATCTCATTTTTAAAGTCCACCTACTGGTAGATAGATAGAGCCCAGAATTTAGTACCTTTGCCAATAGGTTTTGATAATCTGACTGCGTGGTTTCCTGGGAACACTACAGTTTAATGCTAGCAAGAGAACAGAGGGTGTGGACAAGAAAGATGATATCTTAGTCACTTAAAGCAGCCTTGCCTGTTGCAAATAATGTGACCATTCTAGATTTGCAACAGGTGCAAATAATGACCATTCTAGATAAATTTCTGGGTTCATTAAAACAACTTATAACACAATCAATTTGCATTTTGTTCTAGCCTTTTATTAGTTGCAATTATGGAGATACAGTAGCCCTGTTTACACAGCTCTAACAAGTCAGGACCTGTAGTACATTATTGGCTTGACCCTCCCCCCAACTCGCAGTCCATTCGCAACAGAATCAATCTGAAGTTGAAAACATTCGCTGTAGGAAATGTACACATCCTTGCTTATACAAGAACAGAACATCGTAATAAACTTTAGGTACTGTAAGTCGCAAGTTCAACTTACGAAGATCAGCCCTGACTTGTCATTGCTCTCAGCATGTTCACAATGAGATCAGAGTGCTTCAGTGAGGACTCAGATTCTTTTAACTTGACAAGGGACACAGGTGAGCGTGTTATACTTCACTGTTATTCAGAGCTCAGACTCTACAGAGATAAAATGAGAGCTGCTCACTGTTTAACATGCATTCGAAGCACTGCCAATCTAAAATGGCTGCTCAGTAATACTTTAATTGCAGTTTCATGGAAACAAATTGCTATTTAATTGCAATAAGCTTCTCTGTGGCTTAGCTGGACTGACAATAGACATACACCTGGAACCAAAGCAACAAGCAGTAGCAATGGCTATCTACTACTTCATGTTTTATAGTTTCTGGTACCGAGGTCAGACCAAGAACACAACCACTTAGAGATACCTGCTTTAGTGTTGCATTAAGTACTTAAAATTAAAGATTTCAGCATCCATTGACTTTTCTCTCTCTTTTCCGCCCCCCTCTTCTTAATAGAGCTGTTTGGAATACTGGCATATGGCTGTTTGCCAAACTCTGATATATAACTCTTGGACAGCAGAGAGTTTAATATAATTTGAAAGTAATTTTTTAATCATAATAGTGAGGGATATGAACTCATACTATATTGGCATTTGCAATTTTTTTTTTTTTTTTAGTATTTAACCAAAAATTAGTTGATGCAAATTTTATCAGTGTTAATAAGGCAAACAGGAGAAACTCAATGTGGTTAATATTCTTAATATGTGACTTAATTTCAGAGGCTTCATTCTGGTGCGACAGCCTCATTTTATATTTCATAAGATATTGCATAACCTGTTTAAATATTTAAAGATAAATCATGAAAGTCTGGAAAGACAGTATCTTGTGGCAAACAGAATTTGGTTTGGAAAGGCTTAATGTCCCAGTGCCTGCTGGGATGAGTAAATCTCATAACTAGACAGCTGGATAGGTAAAAACATTAAACCCTTTTAGGGAGCAATCTTTTTACAAAATTGTTTCATTAATAAGAGAGACAATTTATATGATTGAGACATTTATGCAATATAAACAGAACATTTTATCAGTTCACTGATTTCAGATTAGTAATATTTCATTTTTTTAAAATAGCATTCATCTTTGAAAGTGTGGGAGCTCTTACTAAATGGCACTGTATTTGTATGGCTTTTCAGAAACACCAAACAGCATATATTTCACAGAATCAGTGTAGTAAACACATGTGATAAAAGGTGAACAAGTACATGTTTTCCTTGTAAACCTCCTTAAGAGGAAAAAAATAGCACAAGTTATTTCTCACATAAGGACAAATCTAAGTGTTTCCAGGATCCTTCTATCCACACCTAGCATCCCCATTAAAGCCTATTTTATTGTTTGAAATGCCTCTGGTTTCAAGAAAGTGTTTTACCTAAAGCAAGAATACTACTTAAATATGTTCCATTGTATATTCATAGCTCCATTAGTCCTCCTCCAATTTAGCACATCAAAGCAAAGGCTTCACCACTTGCATGTGGATTATGCTAACATGAGTGACATTTGTAATCTTATAGGTCTGCAACTTACGAAATGCTTTTAAAGCTTGCTATTAAATAGGTAGCTGTGCTTTACAAACCAGTCATATAATAGTTTATTTAAAGCCTTTAATGAACTTCAACCTCTACATCACTAAATGCCATACTACATTACTTACTAAAAGTTATTAACCATCTTCTTAGCACTTCTAGGTTATTGGACAATTAAAAAGCTGTACGTGTTAGGTTTAAATACTCTACCATGAGTGCTTATATTGATAGAATATAAAAGGTCTACAGTCTCACTAATACTTGAATTCTATATTCGTATGTCTCAAAGCATCTTTGCAAAGAAATTAAAGCAGCACAATTTGCAGGACTCTACCTAAAGATTTAATGCTGGATCAAAAAAGCTTAGAAGCATTTTGAAAATCTGTAATTATGTTTTAAAAAAAATAAAGCCCTGAAAACTATCCATAAGAGAATTTTTAATACCACACACTTAATGCACTCACACATTTGTCTTTTGTGCCTGACAGCATATGGTAAACCAGTCTCTCCTCCCCCAAAGAAATGTCTTATTTTTCCAAGCACTGAAGTGTTAAAAGCAGAAATTCAGTGGACTTTGGATATAGAGAAGTTCCAAGAAGTAGGATGTGAAGAGAAGCTTGCTGTTGGTTGTTTAGATACACAAAAAGCTGGACTTTAGGTTACGTCTCCCATCAGCATGACCAGAAACACTTAATGTGTCATGGCTGCTCTGTAACCAGGCAAGATGAATAAATACCTTTTTAAAAGCACAATTAAAAATGTGAATAGAAGTATTATATACTTCAAGCTTGTTAGCCTATGATAAAAGTAGTGACTTTTGCTAATGTTTAACAATGTTGCAATGCAGCAGAGGCATCTCCCGGGCCTACTTTACATTGTTCCCCGGTATAAGGCATACAGCATATGTCCATAGGTTCATAATATATTTTTTCCACATCTAGCAAGAGCATGGGATGTTTTTTCTGAATGTCCTATAGTTATCCAATAAGCATTTCAAGAAAAAAAAAAAAAAACTAGGTGAAATCCTACTTCTCCTTCAAACTTGAAAAAAAAAAAAAATCAAGAACAAATCACATTTAAGACCATGTTAGTGCCAAACATGCCCAGGAAAGGGCATTTTCTTCCCTCAAGACCACCACGGTTCAGTGTGATTTATTCTCCTATAGCCAAGATTCAGAGGTACTACTATACCTCCTTATAGGACTACCCAATTCAAGAATTGTGTCAGAGAACACATACCCCTTTGTTGTGAGTTTTTCCTGTAACATTTTTATAAATATAATGTTCCCTTCTGAAGGAAGACCGTGGTTACTTTTGTACATACCAAGATTCATTGCAACATGGCTGAACTGTAGTGATATGCTTGCTGTTATCAGAATTAATATTCTGAACAAAAAAGTTTTGGAGCATTGCTCTGTACATCTGCCAAAAGTGACATGGTTAAGTAGTTTGACATAAAACTGTAAGAAGAAAACTAGATTTAAAAGTAATTTACAATTAAAGCAACTGCTACATAAAGTTTAGAATGTGGTATAACAAAGCAAAGCTTTTAAAACCCAAAGTCAATTAAATGTTTTTGTTTTAAGTTTTTATTATTTAAATACACCATACTAGAGCAAATGTCTCTGAAAATATCACAAATAAAAGATTTTTCTTCATTCAGCAAATTAGAAGTAGGTGAAAATTTCTACACAGTAGCTGCTATGAGCCTGTCTTTTTTTTTTTTTTTTTTTTTTTTTTGCGCCATGGGAAGTAGCAACAGTAGGACAAAAACACTTACATGCATACATACATTGTATTTTACAGAGATACAATAAAAGTGTTTGTGATAGAATATCACAAAAGCCACATCTTTCCTTTATCTCATGTTCAGTTTGATTGAAACACATTTCCTTACAACACTTAAATATACAAAGAGCAAATAGAATGTTGTTAAGGTAAAACACTGGGTACAAACTCTGGCCAGTGCCCTGCTAATTGTTAACGAGGGTAGAAAGCAGATTCGAATGCTGCTTTTAATTAGCTTCCTTAGACATTTTCCCCACCCCCGCCCCCCAAGATGTCCTCCGTGGATCTTTTTTCATTTTCTCTACAGTCTCCCATTAGCCCAGGTTCATGGAGTCCTTAATGTTCATATTCAGTCATTTTAATACACCAATAAATGTAGGAAGGGCAATCAAGAATAAAGAAGGTGCAATGGCATGGAGCTGGCATTGATGCTAGCTACAAAGGTGACTTGTCTACTGGAGACATGGGATCCATCTGTGATGAACAAAATTTGAGATGAAGGCACGCATTCTGCATTACTCTGACCTTTTAGCAGACCTGTAAGAAATAAAAAAAAAAAAAAATGGGAATCTTGGCTAATAAGCTAAATTTGAGATATGAAACTCCAACATAACTGCTTGTGTCTTCTCTTTATTCACTAATCTCTTTTTTATTAGATCACTTTCCAACTGTGACTTGATTAAGGCTTTCTACACTCCTCATTCATGCCACTAATGTTCAAACTCTGAAGAACTAAAATAAACATTTCCTGCAGTTTTTAAACTCGAAGAGACAGTAACAATAAATGTACTTTCAGAAAGGTTCAGGTAGGAAACCGTACAGTGAAAAAAGGTGTTTTTCTGGGCCCCTATTGAAAGAAATGAAATGGTATGCCTGGCCTTTGAAGAAGCTAGTAATATGATCTTATAATTGGACGAAATACTGTGTGAAGCAAATAAGAAATACAGCCAATATCCTCCCAAGGCGGCTTTGGTTAATATGCTGCATAGCACAATAGCTAAATATAGATATTTGGGGATTTTCCCCCTCCTCTTCCCCCCTTTTAAAATTCCTCATCTGCTATGTTAGTTAATGTTACATAAACATTTTAATATATGAAGTCAAACATGGTCTTCCACACTGATGTGTTAATGAATTGTGATAATTAAAAGTGCCTAGCTCCAGAGAAATCTAACTTTCATGGATAAAGTACAAATGATCATCCAAAGTCTTCAAATACAATCTGTTGGCAATTACCAAAATGAAATAATATATATTAGATTTTTATGGTTTTTAAATGACATTTCGAGCTTCCCAGGAAGTTCTTTTCACCCTTTAAGTTACTAAAAGCCTGAGGTCTAGTAGTAACTGCAACCCCCCACTTTCAAGCTAATTAAAGTGGAGGAGGCTTGGAGGTTTAATTCCCCAGAGCCGAAGCTCAGTGTGAGAAAGGTAATTTGTCTGTCCAGAACAAAGATTAGGGAGCAGCCAGCAAGCATATTTAATAAATGAGCATCAAATATCCTCTACTATGGACACAGACAACACCAATTATGCAACTACAAGGGAATTGTTGAGTGATATGTAAACGAAGATAAAAAAAAAATCTTTTCCAAGAAATAAAATAGCAAGACGTAATCTAACTCATACTTTATTTAAAAGTTTAGGAGTTGAAGATAAGTGAACATTCCGAACATTGCCCATGGGTGGAAAACTTACACCACTTTTGGGGAAAATGGAAATGCTGTAACAAGCAAGAACTAGTAAAAAATACTATGACTGCCAGAAATAGTGAATTAGGTGCAGTCTCTAAAATGTTCTCTGCAGTGCACAGCACCCCCTCCTTTAAATAATAAGGCACCCAGGACGTTACGTCCTGGCACTGTAGGGCTTTGCATTGTGCTTCTAAATAGCACATAGTTTAAATACTTGAATTTATTTTTTCAAAACACACAGCAAATAATGAAAAGTTATAGCTAAAAGCCTTTGAACATAGCTTATGAAGGTGAAAGGCAGGAAGAGTCCATATCACTGCAGGTACTTTTTAGGTGAAAAGCAACCTTTTACATAGAATTAGGCTATTTAACTCAGACTTGTGCCAATCACTAGTATAAACTCTAGCCTTTCATTTGGGAACTATATTGACTAAGACTGTAAAAAGTTGACTTCATAGCTGTCAAATGTGGCTTCATAGGTGAGCAAAACAAAAAAGTCACAGTACCAAGAACCTCACACACATTAAACTCTCTTCAGCCTCCTAATAGCTAGTTAGCTATGAATAGCTGTGCCATATTCTGCTTTGCTCATAATCTTTAGGGAAAGAGCAAAAAACCTGAAGATTGATTGGTCTGTAATGTTTAATACTGGGTATCGTATCTATTTCAGCTAATGCTGTCAAATTGGAAGTATGTTTTTATTCAGTAGCCCCATAACATCGCTTTCTGTAAAGTACTTTTAATATGTACGTTCTTATATTGTTTCTTTAAAATGCGTAAAACATTGCTTTTTGGCACCTTCCTCTTTAGTTTCCAAGGCTAGAAGTCAGACAGACCCCAAGCTCATTTCCTGACATATTTCAGTTTTCTAAGTTCACATTACTCCCCAATTCCCCCTGTGAAAGTGGGTATGAAGAAATTATTCATAAGATATACTAATTGTGAGATTTCTCTCTCCAATTTTCTCCTTAACACCTCTGTCTGCCTCATCATATACTGTAGCAATGCAGTTAATAGCCAATGATAGTGATAATGAGGCCCTGTTCTTATTAAATGCTTCCTCTGCATTTAGCTCCTAGTAGGATAGCTGCAATTTTGCAAGCTACACAAGCCAGTTTTACTTCTCATTTCCTCACTGTGTCTACTGGTATTATTGTAACTAAATCATTTTTCTTTTGCTAAAGCATAGCAAGACACTGATAAAACTAAGTGTCTATTTAGACACCCATTTGAAGTTGCAATAAACTTTACATCCACACAAGGCAAGTGGATAAAGCACTTCTTTTCTCAGAATGGCAAACTTTTTACTACTATATATAAAGATGAATGGTTTTACCTATATTTTGAAATAGGTTCTCTACAACTGTTCATTTAACAGATTCATTGCTAGCTAGTCTGTATTATAGATTTGTTTCATTAAAATACACAGTAGTATAGATCTATGAATCTTTACATGCATTTGTACTTCCTTGAACAGACCTCATATTCTTCATCACTCCTAAATAGTTATGCAGAACAAGTAATTAAGACTCAGTATTCAATCCAGTTACTCTGATTGACAAATTAAGTAAATAAGTGTTCATATTTTGATGTAATTACAGTTCACTTTCTAAGAGACTGGAAATATACTTAAAATTATTCAGTACATTTGTGTAGAGTAAAAGACAAACAAGCCTATAGTAATGTAGCAATGCAACACAAAACTGGTCAAACTTAGAAACCAGTTCATGTTTTCCTGTACAAATTTACCCACTAAAGAAAGAAGTCATTTAAAATTCTTCTTTTGTATGTTACAGAATACATAAGAAATCTAGCATTTTCCCTAGCTATTTTTTAATCTTCTGAATTCCTGTTTGCAGATAAATGTTATTTTTTGTGATCCTTACAGACATTAATGAAGTTCCTATTGTAAATCTATAAAGAATTACCAACTGAAGTGTGCACTTTTTGTTTCAGTGCAATAACTCAGTGCTGTGTGATTGCCTGGGTTAATGATGAAAAAGTCAAATATACTATCAGAGCTGATGGAAAAATCTATCACCAATCTGAAATTAAAATTCATCTGTGGTCAATAAGATTTAATATCCATGCAAGTGGCGCTGTAAAGAGTAAATGAATCAATGTCATCAATACATAATCAGTATGAAATATGAGGTGAATAAAATTATGTGCAAGAGTCATACATTCACTCTTTTCTGGACCAGTGTGGAATGAACAGTCTCTTAACTGAAGGTTGACAGTAATTGTTACAAATTAGGCACAGCAGTTATCAAAATGCACTCACTTGCATAGCTATAGGACTTATTAAGGAGATTAAAATAGATCTAAAACTATCCAGTTCTAGAGGTACAGGACAACTGTTGATACAAATTTTTCCCTCTGCTACTACATAATGTGTATACTCATAATTTACTTGCAACTATGGACCAAGAGCTGTCAAGCACAGGGATACACAATCTCTACTGGAGAGGTTAGTGTTATGGAGTGATGAGAGAATAAAACTTTGATTTTATGACATGTAAAACATTCAGACTACTTTTCTAAGGATACACCTTTTAGAATATTAGTGTAGGAAACATACTAAGTGTAATATGTTAGTCTGAGATGGTATGTGCCCTAGTTTCTATTAATTCAGGAACCTTTTCTTCATAAGACATTTATTACCAAAATTAAAGGATCTAATTTTCCTCCCACAGTAACCTGCTCCCTTGCAATCCTTAATCTCAACATTTTAAAATGAAATGCTTCTCTTCAAGAGAGCTTATATTAGGGGTTGCTCCCCACATTCCACTATACATTACTAACTCAATAGCTATACAGATCTGAATAAACTGAACTCAATTAATACAACTTTCATATTTAAGGGTTTATATTTCCTCCAAAGTCCTATAACTAAATTCAGTTATTGAAAGGCTCCTTCGGGGTGGGTGGGAGTGGAGGAACAGTGTCCACTATTAGGTTGAAAAGAAATTGATCTTAATTTAACTCTAATAAAGCTTATTAGTAATTGCTGAGTATTCACCTTCTGGTCTGGCAGTAGTGGATTGCTCTGAAGTGAATTCAAATGGCCATTGATGAGAGCTGTAGGTCTATCATGTTCACAAAATAAACTGCCATTGATGTAGTGAAACCGGTCTCCTGGGACCAGGCGATTCCGGCAGGTAGAGCATGTAAAACACTGAAAAGGAAAGACACAGCAAATGAAACTGGCACAAATTAAAAATGCTGCAGGTTTAAATGTTATTCTTGAGAGACTATCAGTAAAGCATGAGGTCTGAAGCTGCTTAGTTTCTAGTATCGCCAAATATAGCATTTGTCTTACCTGCTGTTAAACTACATTTGAGTTGTGTTACTGATTATTACAGGACAACGCTATGCACCATGGGAAGTTTTATAACACACACTCTTATTAGTAATTATTGCCCTGCACATTTATGAATATATGAAAGATGTAGAAGTTATACCATGTAAGAACCACGGAGCGAAGCAGTGCTATTAACAAAGTCAGACAGGAGAAGAGACCTACCTTAAGATGATAGACATTGCCTTGTGCCCTCATGACCAGCTCACTAGCAGGAATTGACTG